TCAGCTCCTCTTCTCTTTCCCTCCTCTCAGCTCCTCTGCACATTCTCTCCTCTCAGCTCCTCTGCACATTCCCTCCTCTCAGCTCCTCTTTCTGTTCTCTTCTCTCAGCTCCTCTGCACATTCTCTCCTCTTCTTCTTCACTCCTCTGAGGTCCTCTTCACATTCCCACCTCTCAGCTCCTCTGCACATTCTCTCCTATCCTCTTCTTCTTCACTCCTCTCAGCTCCTCTTCACATTCCCACCTCTCAGCTCCTCTGCACATTCTCTCCTCTCAGCTCCTCTTCACATTCCCACCTCTCAGCTCCTCTGCACATTCTCTCCTCTCAGCTCCTCTGCACATTCTCTCCTCTCAGCTCCTCTGCACATTCCCTCCTCTCAGCTCCTCTGCACATTCCCTCCTCTCAGCTCCTCGCTCTGTTCCTTCCTCTCAGCTCATCTTTCTCTTCTCTCCTCTCACCTACCGTCCCCGTGCTCCCCTTTCAGCTCCCCTTCTTTTCTCTACTTTCAGCTCTTCTTCTTGTCATCTCCTTTGAGTTCTGTGTGAAAAGTGAAATGTTCTTTATTCTTGTGTATTCAGGTGAAGTTGTATATCAGACAACTCCTCGAAGGTCTTACTTATCTTCATGAAAAAAATATTCTTCATCTGGACATCAAGGTAAATGTTCCTCTAGAATGTATCTTCTCTAAATGCCTCTCCTGTGGTCACATGTGACATTCACCTAAAACAAGGAATGGGCAGCAAAAGAAAATACAGCTGAAAATTAGTCAATTTATACAGTTTTAGAAACTGTTTTTGTGTAGCGTCAGAGAGTGGGGAGGTGATACGCAGCTATTGTTTTTGGATGGGGCGGGGAAAGGTGAAATCCTCTGTTGAATTATTGCTGTGCTCCTGCTTGTGAGGTTTCTCCTTACTTGTGAACTCGACAGGTGTCACCCAGAAGAGGAAGTGAGGAATAGACATGTAAGCTGCCGAAAAATTCAGTTCAGATATTTCGTTGTTTCGGGATTTGGATTTGAAACTCAATTCGGTTTCTTCAGTTTCGGAGGAGTTTACGAATATTCGTTGCGAATACCACAGAAAACCATATACAGATATTAATACTAAAACTGAATCTCCTAGACCCAAATGGCATTGGGGTTTCGAATTTTCCAATTGCATTCCGGAGCTCCCGAATGCCATTCGGGTCTGGGAGCCTCAGCTTTAGAATTATAGGTATATACTGTATATGGCGCCCATGTTGCCGTGACGAAAATTCATGTTCGGATTTTATTTGGATGCATTAAACCGAAAAGCACATCTGATTGGCCAGAAAAGTCACATGTCCGATTCAGTTTCGTTTTTGAACGGAATTCGGACAGGATCCGAAATTCGAAAACGGAAATTCGGTTTCGGACACTTGGAAATTCGGATGTGTCCGAATGTCCGAATTTGGGAGAATTTGTCCGAATTTTGATTCGGAACGAAACGAATCGCACAAGTCTAGTGAGGAAAATGTTTCAATAAGAACACAGACGGCATTCAAAATTCTAAACCTTCCCAACTCTATCCAAAAAATAAAAACTTGTGACGGAAGCTGTGCTGTGGGCCCTTGGTTTTACCCAAGGATGTGGCCCCTACACCATTCAATGCCGTTGTTAATATGAACATTACAGTGAACCTGTGTTTTTCCCATGCAGGGCAGATCAACAGGTTCTCTTTAATGTCATTAAGGTGTGTGCATTATGTTTGGCTCCCTATATGTCTCAGCAATTTTGCTATCAGCATTTCACCTCTCAATTGTTGCCAAAAACAGATTATTTTAATGCTCTTGGCACGAGATATTCAAGATGCCATATTTTCTCTCCGGGCCTGTGTCAGATATGTTCCGGGTTTCTCTGGCATCAGATATGGCACAACATCTGATATTCCCAGCTGCCTGCATTATTATAATTGCCATCAGTTACATATCATGAGTAGGTTTTCTGGCATCTAAATCAAAGATGCCAAAATTGGATCCTCTCTTGCCACTGCTTCCTCCAGGCAATGTACACCACTGGCACTGAGGTCCTTGTCCACTGAGAGAAGTATTGTCCAGATGATGCCCAAGTGAATTAGCTGCTGTGTGGGGACATACATGTGAAGGAGGTGCACTGGGTGCACTTATTGGGTGTTGGATGACACAGGATGAGCATTAATGCATTGGAGTCACTGCATACCACAGGATACTTTAGGATGAGCAGGGATGCGCTGGAGTCACTGCGTCTGCATGCCACAGGATACCCTAGGGCACAGTGGGGTCATGGGACACACAGGAAGCGTTGGGGTTTCTAAATAACCAAGGTCTAATGGTGGGCAAGGAGTACAGAAATCACGGCAGAAGCATAATGATGCATTGCTTGACCACTGAGCCATGCATTGCTGCGCAATTTAAGGTAACGAACATCAGGAGAGCGGTATCCTGATTGGCCACAGCACTGGGAAAGTTGAAAACCCAGAAATGCAATTCGTTGCACTGCAGAGAGGAGACCTGTTGCTGGATCCCAGTAGAAGCCAGTGTGGCAACCATGTTATATCTAGCCAATGATATTGCTCTGCTTTTTCACCAAACACCATCTATGACTCTTAGATGCGTTCTAAGGTTGTGTGTTCTAAGATGGTGTTCTGAAGTCACAGATTGCCACTTGGAGGCACTTGGGTGTGATGACAACATGCTATAGCTTTAATAGTTCCTACAATAGTGTCAGTGTAAGGTGCCATTGGCTATCTCGAGACACCTGGCTAGTCTTTATTGAAGCTATGGACTATGGGATACCTCAGCATCAGAGACCTAATAACTCACCAAATGATGCCAACTAAAGTAACAATTGGAAAGCTGATACAAAATAGAGAACCAAATGCACAGCCAAGGTAGCAGGTAAGGATCCCAGCTGGCATTACAGGTAGTAGGCCAAGGTAATGGCAATAGATAAAGTCATAGTGGCAACTAAGTTTAAAATTTTTATAGTCAGACCAAGTGAAGGATTGGCAGCTCAGGGGACAAGTCAAAGGTCATGTCAGAAGAGCACAGGAACCAAGGGTAGCTGCTAAATTAAAATCCAGTGAAGGGGCTAAAGCATTCTGAGTCAGTTTCAGAATGCTTTAGTCCCTACAGCTTCAGACTGTAGTATTAGTCATCAATATATAGTCAATAAGCACACGCGGCTGACCCAATTCAACACCAAAACGTATGATCTGACCCTTGCAGTTCTTAGTCATAATTGACAATGATGAACATAGTTTTGCAATGATGTTTGCCCCTTATAATTGTCTTTGTTGATCCGTCTGTTAAGGAAACAAAAAAACATTCTTTTTATGTGCTTCAAGGCTTTGTTAATCCAACATGTTCCCTTCCTTCAGCCGTCCAACATCCTGATGGTTCACGCCGACAAGGAGGACATTAAACTCTGTGACTTTGGGTTCGCCCAGAAAATAATCCCGTCTGAGTTCCAGTACAGCAAGTATGGCTCGCCGGAGTTTGTTCCTCCAGAAGTCGCTGCACAGGCACCTGTGTCTAAGTCTTCCGATATCTGGTAACTATTATCATCTAATTAAAGTAAATGAAAACCTAAACAGGGCTGTCTTTAACATGGGGCAAAAGGGGCAGTTGCCCTGGGCCCATTCATTGTTGTGGGGCCCAAAGCAGCTGCCCCCAGAGCCAGCAAAAGATACACATGCCGTATACACATGCGGTTCCGTTTACTATGCGAACGGCATTGCATGGTGTTGCTCCACCCCTTTGGTAAGCAGATTGACGTCTCATGTCACGTCTTCTTCTGACGTCTCCTCCTATCTGCTCTGTTGTGCGAAATTGCATGGCGGGGGTGTGGCGTGGCGGGGGTGTGGTGTGGCAGGGGTGTGGTGGACAGGGGGCCATGCTTGGCAGGTAGAAGTGGGAGGATTTCCAAGAAAATGTTTGCCCAGGGTCCAATCAGTATTTAAGATGGCCCTGACCCTAACTGAACGGAATTAAGATAAAATAAATAACTTTTAGCCCAAACCAGAGTAAGTTCTTTATATAGTGTGTTTGTACAGAACAGCTTTTCTCAACCTTTTTTAATATGGAGGAACCCTTAAAAAATGTGTGGTTTTTATAATGGTAATGATTACTACATCTACAGCTCACGCTACATTAGCGTGATGGTCAGTGCAAAGCATGCTCCTTACTTGTGGTCAATGGAATGAACCCCACCCTTCAAAGACCTAGCTTAAAAGATCATTGGTGCCAGAGGTTACTTATCTGAGAGACAGAAGTTGTTCATTGATCAAGGAACTCCTAGTAACTTCTGGAGGAACCCTAGAGTTCCACTTAACACTAGTTGAGAAAGACTGGTCTGGACTTTCTATTGAGAACTGGGAATGCTCTTTAGGTTACTTATCTGAGAGACAGAAGTCGTTCCCTGCTTAAGAAACTCCTAGTAACCTCTGGAGGAACCCTAGAGTTCCACTTAACCCTAGTTGAGAAGGACTGGTCTGTAGTTTTCTATTGAGAACTGGGAATGCTCTTCAGGTTACTTATCTGAGAGACAAAAGTCATGTATTGCTCAAGGAACTTCTAGTAACCTCTGGAGGAACCCTAGAGTTCCACTGAATACTAGTTGAGAAGGACTCGTCTGTAGTTTTCTATTGAGTACTAGGAATGCCCTTCAGATTACTTATCTGAGAGACAGAAGTTGTTCAATGCTCAAGGAACTCCTAGTAACCTGTGGAGGAACCCTAAAGCTCCACTGACCCATGGTTGAGAAAGATTGGTCTGAACCTTTCTATTGAGAACTGGGAATGCTCCTCAGAACTAATAATGGTGTCTTTTATTATTGCTCTGCAGGCCTGTTGGAGTTATCAGCTACTTATGGTAAGAATTCGTAGTGATTCCATGTGAAGTGTATGGAGACATTCCACGATCAGTGATGGGATTCTATAATGTATTTTATGTATCGTTTGCAGTTTGGTCAGCGCTTCCCCATTCGCAGGTCAGAACGACAGAGAGACGCTTATGAATGTACAGCAAGGCAAAATTAGCTGGAGCTGCCCTGGCTTCACCCAGCTAAGTGCCAATGCCCAGGACTTCATGAGACAGACCATCCAGATGTCTCCGGAGTAAGTGGGATGTCTTCTCTGGGCAACTTGTTTGTTTTTTAAGTTTTGGATGGAGTGATGAAGGGTTGAAACCTCTTTCAGGTTTTACCTTTGTCTGTGGCCATGTTGGGAAGATCTCCCCACACTGTGACACTGTTGCGTCACCAGTAGAGTGGAGGAGTTGAGAAGAGTTAGCACATCCTGCCTGTCAAATAGTAATACTGTCTGTCAATCATAGGGAGATTTCCCAGCATCACTTCCCCATGTTGTCACTGGTAGAGTGCAGGATTGTAAATAGGTTAGAACATCCTCCTTGTTGATGTTTTATCACCGTCTGTCAACTCCGAGGAGACTCAGACCTTCAGATGTCAACAATGCAGAAAGTTATGGCATGTCTCCCCCAATAGTAACACAGAGAGCAATGAAAGGTTCTAACCCTTCTCCACTCCATCCATGGGTTGGGGTTAGGGCTGCATGTTAAAGAGAACCAGTCATAAATGAGTATTTGTAAGATTCTAAGTCTCCACTCATAAGTTGTTATAATAGAGCAGTCCTGTTCAATGACAGGTGGGGTTGTTTTTATTTAGTTGTATTCCTTTCCTGTTGCAACATAAATGTTAGCACAGACTGTAAGGCCCCTAAGGAGGGTTCCCTGTCTCCTGCGTGAGCCTAGAGCTGATAACACACTTTGGGGGCTGCTTGAGAAAGGTGGAATGTCAATTTACAAAACCTTTTTGTTTCCTTTAATATAGCTCTTTGCTTTGTAAGCAGTGCAGATCCATAATCGGGAAGACTACTGAAAAAATATTTTTATGGGCTTCTCTATCAGTGAGCTCGTAGACATGTAAGCTGCGGAAAAATTTGGTTCGGTTCGGATATTTCGTTATTTCGGAAATCTGGATTCGGATCCGTAATTCAATACGGTTCAGGTTTCGGAATTGGACCAAATCCGAATTTCGTTAGTTTCGGATGAGTTTACGGATATTAGTTGCGAATACCACAGAAAACCATCTACAGACATTAATACTAATGCTGAATCTCCCAGACCCCAATGGCTTTCGGGATCCGAATTTCCGATTTGTATTCGGGAGCTCCCGAATACCATTCGGGTCTGGGAGCCCCAGCTTTAGTAATATATGTCTGTGGCTCCCAGACCCGAATGACACTCGGGAGCTCCTGAATGCAATTCGGAAATTCGGATCCCGAATGCCATTCGGGTGTGGGAGCCTCAGCTTTAGTATTATATTATATACTGTAATTCGGAGGGGATCCGAAATTTGGAAACGGAAATTCGGATTCGTACAAATTAGGATGCATTGGGATTTGGAAATTCTGATGTGTCCGAATTTCGGAAAATTCATCTGAATTTTGATTCGGAGCTAAATAAATCGCACATGTCTACTGTATAGTAAACACAACTCATTAAAGGAGAACTGTGGGGTCGGGGCTTTTACCCATAGTTCTCCTAAGGGTAACGGGAGGACACAAACTAGCGTTCTCCCGTGACCCAAAGCTCAGTATACTGCGAGCTACATAGGCTCTGCCTATCTAGAGGCAGAGCCAGCTGTACTCGCCCCCTCCCCTGTCCGCTCCGCCAGTCAGCGCTGGAGGATCGGAGCAGGGAGGGGGGAATCCAGTCCCTCCCCTGTCACGGCTCTAGCCGGAACAGGATCGAGAGGTGAACGAACGCCGGTATGTGTTCGCTCACTTCCCGATCTACTGAGCCGACCTGTGACAGTCTCATTGTCACAGGTCGGCTAGAACTATGAGGTGAGTGAAAATCCCTGCAGGGAGCCGTGAGTGACAGTCACGGCTCTCTGCAGGGGCATGATCGAGAAGTGATATCCGTAATTCAATACGGTTCAGGTTTCGGAATTGGACCAAATCCGAATTTCGTTAGTTTCGGATGAGTTTACGGATATTAGTTGCGAATACCACAGAAAACCATCTACAGACATTAATACTAATGCTGAATCTCCCAGACCCCAATGGCTTTCGGGATCCGAATTTCCGATTTGTATTCGGGAGCTCCCGAATACCATTCGGGTCTGGGAGCCCCAGCTTTAGTAATATATGTCTGTGGCTCCCAGACCCGAATGACACTCGGGAGCTCCTGAATGCAATTCGGAAATTCGGATCCCGAATGCCATTCGGGTGTGGGAGCCTCAGCTTTAGTATTATATTATATACTGTAATTCGGAGGGGATCCGAAATTTGGAAACGGAAATTCGGATTCGTACAAATTAGGATGCATTGGGATTTGGAAATTCTGATGTGTCCGAATTTCGGAAAATTCATCTGAATTTTGATTCGGAGCTAAATAAATCGCACATGTCTACTGTATAGTAAACACAACTCATTAAAGGAGAACTGTGGGGTCGGGGCTTTTACCCATAGTTCTCCTAAGGGTAACGGGAGGACACAAACTAGCGTTCTCCCGTGACCCAAAGCTCAGTATACTGCGAGCTACATAGGCTCTGCCTATCTAGAGGCAGAGCCAGCTGTACTCGCCCCCTCCCCTGTCCGCTCCGCCAGTCAGCGCTGGAGGATCGGAGCAGGGAGGGGGGAATCCAGTCCCTCCCCTGTCACGGCTCTAGCCGGAACAGGATCGAGAGGTGAACGAACGCCGGTATGTGTTCGCTCACTTCCCGATCTACTGAGCCGACCTGTGACAGTCTCATTGTCACAGGTCGGCTAGAACTATGAGGTGAGTGAAAATCCCTGCAGGGAGCCGTGAGTGACAGTCACGGCTCTCTGCAGGGGCATGATCGAGAAGTGAGCGAGCGACGGTATGTGTTCGCTCACTTCCCGATCTATTGAGCTGGCGTGTGACAGTCTCATTGTCACAGGTCGGCTCATATTATGAGGCTGAGTGAAAATCACTCTCTTCATAGTTCTCCTTTAAATAGATTTTCATAAGGTGGAATGAGGACCTTTTGTTGGCTCACCATGTTGTCATCACATGAATGGACTTCTGTTTACAAACATACAATGCCCATTCTTAGGAATGGGGAGCGATAAGCCTTTCATTATATAGCAGAGCTGCAGGAGTGACAATGGCAGTGTGAACATCATATGACCATTGATTCAAAGCAGTGGTGAGAGCCTGCGTTTATTTAAATCAAGTGCACAAAGCATTCTGTTGTTTGTATTCTTCCTGCGTATCATGGATTGAAATTGCTTGCTCTGAGATGAAATTAGATTTTGGCATAATTTCAAAAAGCTGTAAACCACTAATTTTGTAGTACAATTAGATTTGCATTAGAAAGGACAGCCTTTCACCCTCCTTCACACAGGAATCGGCCCGCAAGTACAGCTCCGTGCTGCGTGCGGGGCCGTACCGGGCAGCTCCCGGGAAGGACAGGTGCTGCGTGTGATTAGTACGCAGCCCCCGTCCTTCTCTATGGGAGCCCCCTGCGCTCACCCGCCCTGCACGTCCGTGCGGGTGAGCGTACACATACGCTGACAGGATGGATCCTGTCTGCGTCCGACCCGGGACACCCGTACGGACCTGCACTTGAGGTGAGCGTAGGGGGGGCGTACGGCCACGTAGTCCCATAGAGAAGGACGGGGGCTGCGTACTAATCACACGCAGCACCTGTCCCTCCCGGGAGCTGCCCGATACGGCCGTGCACGCAGCACGGAGCTGTACGTGTCGGTCGATTCTCCTGTGAATGAGGGCTAAAGCTTGACATCCAGCCAGAAATGACAAGGAGAGAATATAAGTAAATAGTAGAAAAATCTAGTAATCCCTTAGTGGCAAGGCATTTCTGTTATAACAATTCAAGAGCCTAGCTTCGGATTATTACAAATGCTCATCGGTTCTCTTAAAAGTATCAAAAACAGGGAATAGTGTTATACAAAATGCTAAGAGTTAAGGCATTATTTCAGGGCAGAGGTAAGTGTTAGGGGTTCAGTCAGGGAAAGGGTTAAGCGTTAGGACTTGTTTTTGCACAAGAAGCCATTTACAACGCTGGGAATGTTAGGGGGGAGGTGAAGGATTTACAGATGTTCTCTGTGTTGAGAGTTCCATGCAGAACAATACCAGAACCAGCAACTAACGTACTGATATTTGGAGCGGCATCACACCCTTGTCTTTGTTTTTTTCACAGCAGATTCTGGTTAAAGAATAAACGGGTTATTCACAAAGCTGCCGAAGGCAAGCGAGTGAATAACCAAGCCATAGTGAAGTGAGCCAAACAACGTTCGGCTATTCACTACGGCTCAGTACGGCTGATTTCAGCACTTCGGTCAGCCGAACATTCTCTTCATGTTTGGCTGAGCCAAAGTGCAGAAGGACTCTGACTCAGCCGGTCTGACAACATCTGGATCGGCTGAGTCGAAGCTCCGGCAGCTCACTCGCTGCCATTCCACATTATTCACATAGGGGCCAAACGGCAGTGAGCGAATAGGCGAATGCGGCCCGGGCTATTCTGTTCGTTACCTCCGTAGTACCGAGCAGAATAGCAAATAGTGAGAAAAGTCGGGGAAAAAAAGTTGAAAGAATAATTTTAAAATCTGAATAAGTTGAAAAATTAAAAAATAAATAGTTTTTTTTTAAAGCAACTGGGCGGAGCCAGCTGTGACATCACGGCCGGCTCCACCCAGTTATTGTTCAATGACAGTTCAGCGTCCCCAGGTCATTTGGAGACGCTGATCTGTCATTACAACTGGGCGGAGCCAGCCGTGAGATCATGGCTGGCTCTGCACAGCTGTCATTTGTGAGGAGTACGGCAGGCCGTTCTCCCAGCTTCTGCTGTCACTTCGGCTCAGTCGTTCCGAAGCATATGCCTTCAACTTGGCTGAGCCGCTCGGCCACCTTCGGCAGCTTTACGGGCTATAGTGAATAGCCCATACAGCAGCCCTTTGGTTTAACTGAACCGAAGGGCTCCCGCAACCGAAGCTAGCCGAAGGATCAGCCGAACCCACCGATGGATCTTTCGGCAGCTTTGTGAATAGACCCATAAGGGAATCTCATTGAAATGAACCATTTACTCTGCTTGGGTGAGGGATTGGGTGTTTATTTGCCATGCTCTGATAGAATATTTAGGTTGCTGAAAAATAATATATGCCTCCTGGGCACCAGAGGTACCAACCCATATGGCCACATAATGGCTTGGACTGGTACCTCTGGGAGAAGCTCACTATCGAAGATGAAAATAGTTTGTGGATTGGGAGGGGGATTGGCCGGTGTTCATGGATATCAGCTTCTACCTGCCAATCAGGGTGTTCAACCCTAACTTGTGATGATCATGTCAGTAACCTAAGGAGCTATGAACTGAATTGTATCTCCAGTGGAGGGCTTCCTGTTTTCTTTAAGCCAACCTCGCCAAAGCCAATCCAGATCCAAAAAGTAATCCTGGCAATATATCCGGGAGAGGCCTATGGGAAGAATAGGCAAACTCCGGCCCACTAGCTGTGGTGAACCTGCCAATCCCATCATGCATCTGCTTCTGGGAGTCATGACTGTGGATGTCTGAGTCTTGCAATGCCTAACGGGATTTGTGGCTGGAGGGTCGTGGTTTGCCTACCTCTGGCCTATGGTGATGTACAGGACCAAACATTGCCAAGTTGCATGTATGTATTATAATCACGTGTTAACATTGACCGTCATCTCAATACCATTGTATTGCCCGAGTTCAGAGTAGACCATATAAGCTATGGTGGACATTTCTTTTTACATGGAACAGATATGATCAAGGTTAGAAAGCCCAAATGAGCTCTTTAAGGCCCAGAAACACTTTCAGACAGGCCGGCACTCCTTGCGAATGTCAGAATTGTAAAAATTTCCAGTTTGGGCCAGCACCCCAATTATATGCTCATCAATCACATCATTTGGTAGGCAGCACTATATGAGAAGCGATATATATTTTTATGCCGTATGTGTATAAAATTCATGTGTTTATTTTCCTACAACAGTGCACGGCCGAGTGCTACACAGTGTCTCCAACATAAATGGTTTGTGGTACGTTGTTTTCCTTTATGTGGCTACTTACCTTATCGGTGTTGTAACAGTAGTAGAAGACTTACTAATCAGCTTACATGTAAACCCTAAAAAATACAAGTCAGAGGTGTGCCAGTGATGACTGCCATTGCTCAGACCAAGTGTGTCATTGTTCTGAAACCTTGTTTATCGATCTGTGTTTCATTTTTGGGAACCCCAAGTGCTGTTTGTCAGTGTTCCAGGACCCCAAAGTCCAATCAATCATAGGTCTATGACCATTGAATGTCTGTGTGTAAATGTTCTGGAACCGTAATCATCGATTTATTTTTTTATGGAACCCCAAATATCAGTTTGTCATTTCCCTGGAAACCCAAAGCTCAATCCTTCATTGGTCTGTGACCCGCCAAATTGTATTGTTTGTTTTTATATCATAAGTTTTAATGTATTATTGTACTTGAACCATGGGACCCCAATCGACCCCAGTGTGTCATTGTCTTCATACCATAAATGTCAGTCTGTCGCGGTTCTCAGACCAAGTATCAGTGTGTCTTTGTTTCTGCCACCCTTTGTGTCACTGTGTCCTTGTTCTTAGTCCTCAAGATCATTGTTTTGCTTTCCAATTGTCTGTGTGTCTTTATTCAGGGACCCCAAGTGTTAGTGTGTCATTGTTTGGGGTTCCCAAGTGTCAGTGTGTCATTGTTTTGGGTTCCCAAGTGTCAGTGTGTCATTGTTTTGGGTTCCCAAGTGTCAGTGTGTCATTGTTTTGGGTTCCCAAGTGTCAGTGTGTCTTTATTCACGGACCTCAAGTGTCAGTAGGCCATTTTTCCCAAGTTTAATTGCGCAAGTGATCTTGGATCACCACTTATCCATGTGTCAGTGCTTCATTGTCCTAAATGTCAGTGCGCCATAGTTTTGGGACATGAAATAATGCGTCATTATCCTACCTACCCAAAGTGTCAGTGTGCCCTGAGATATTTGGTGTACACTGGGGCAATAGCCTATCTGTGTTTATACGTAACCCTTTAGAAGTGTGTTACTAAAGGATAACAATAATACTTTCCAGCCCATAAAAGATTTAGGGATACTAATAGTTCTTTGAATTACTTTACCATTTTCATCCATACGCAAAAAAGTTATCAATAGGTGCTATGACTTTTAAAGTTATTGGCGGCCTTGACTTTATTGCAGGAGACTTCCAGCCCAGAGGACGCACAGCCAGTCAGCTCCAAGAGCCTCCGATTCCTCGTTGCTCGCAGTCGGTGGCAGGTAAAAATTCCTCTTTCTCTTTTAAAGGTAATATACTGTATATGTTGCTTTTTGCATATATTTTGTGTATTTTAGCATTCATTGTGTTTGGGATTACTTTATTTTTTGATATCAGTTAAATATAAAATACAGCATGTGAATGTTTTATATTTGCCATATGCAGCTTGTGGCAAAGTGTAAACAGCAGCGCCAGCTTACTGGAAGCTCCGGATTAGCATAGGGATCAGATTATTTAGACCAGGGGTAGCAAACCTCCGGCCCTCCAGCTGTGGTGAAACTACAAATCCCATGATGCATTTCTCTACGGGAGTCATGTCTGTGGCTGTGAGAATCTTGCAATGCCTCATGGGATTTGTAGTTCCACCACAGCTGGAGGGACGGATTTTTGCTACCCCTGATTTAGACCAATGGGTTGCAGAGGAGGGCTACATCCCTTCCCTCTTTCCTAACAGCGATTTAGGGTTGTGGATTTTTGGTTGAATCGATTTTATTGCTATTACTCTACTTTTTTACTACTTTTTCAGCGCTCATTGATGTGCTACAAGTCCATCCTGGTGATGCGGTCGATTCCTGAGCTTCTGAATGGAAAGCAGGAGAGCACTTCACTGGGTGTGCCACGGCATTTAGTGGAATGCAGCAGTTCTTCCAGTAGTAGCGGTTCCTCTTCCGATAACGAGAGCGATGTCAGCCCTACCGCAAGGGACTGTAACCCTTCTCTGGAATTGCATATGTCTATTTTCAAAATGTCTGAAAAAGATGATCTGCAACAGCCATACATGCCGGAACCTGAGATGGACAAAGACAAGAAAAGCATAGCTGAAGAAGAGAAAATGGAAAGCAAAGATGTAATGGCTAGTGATACCTCTCCCATGATTGGGACCAAAAGAGAGCACGATAAGGCTTCTGGGTTGGGTGAAAGCCAGGAAGATCCGGAAGATGATGAAAAAATGCTGGTTCATTCAGTAGAAACATCGCCAGGAAAGCTTCCTTTGTATAGAGCTGCAACTATCGAAGTTGATATCCTAGCTTCCAAAAAAGCCAAAACTGGGTCTTTTGTTAGAGGAACTTCAGCAGACAGTGCTCTGTTGCTCCCAACGGGAGCTGAAAAGCCATCTTCAGTTTGCGTACCAAGGCAGAGTATCATTAATAGCACGTTTTACAATCAGGCCGGTGAAGGACAAGGCATAGCTCCCAGAGATGGCACATTAAAGGAGAAGGACTTCATCAAGCACAGAGAGCGAGCACGTAGGAGTTTAATGAAAGCTGGTTACTCGCAAAAAATTCTGAGTGGATTACGAGAGCCATTGTTGGAGCAGTTTGCAATGGAGCAGAGAGCACTGGCACAGGATCCCTCCCAGATGGACCAAGATGGTCAACTGGGCTCTCTGAAAAAATCAGCATCTTTTGACCTGGCAAAGGTATCCTTAAGGTCCTCCTTTAAAGTTTCCAGCAGAAGTCGTTCCCTGGATGACAACAGATCGCGGACTTTGAGTGTTTACAAAGGAACTGTTGTAGAAGAAAAAGATCACATTTCACCAAAAACCTCAAAAGACGCGCTTAACAAATCAGATACCGCCATCACTAAACAGCACTCTGAAGAGTTCTTGGCTGCAACTCCAAAGATGTCTTCAACACAGAGGCCTCTTTCAGCGCCACCTCCCAATAGGGAAAATGCCATTATCGCAGTGTTCCATCAACAACCTTTACAAGATGCCCCTGAATGCAAAGCAAGGTCATCTTCTGCTGTGCTTGAAGGGGAAGAAAGTACAATAATAGCTTTTATTAAACCAAAACATATAATAGAGTCAGAATTGCTTGTAAAACCTTCCTCGGTGGTGATAGAAGATACAGATAGAGGGCCACAAGCACCTCAGTCACCAGGAAAAGCCTCTCAAGAGAAGCGAGAACCTACAGGTTTACAAACTGGAGTCAAGTTTACAGTCCACACAACATCTCAGAGAAATGAGTTCCTTGTTGCGGATGCTCCAGTAGAAAGGGAACCTGATAAAGTTAATAAATTCTTCCCAAAAGACGAGGAGGGAAAAGAAGAGATTTATGCAGAAGGACAAATACAGGTGGTCCATTTTATTGAAGGCAACTCAAGACTAGCAGTGATACATCAAGGTGCTGGGGACATTTTATCCTTATCAAATGATTCCACAACTCAAGAAAATGTTGCCCAATGCCCCACAATAATGAGGATACAGCCGGAACCTGCCCCAACTTTAGTCTTTGCAGGCAAAACCATGACTGAGCTAGTCACAACGGACAGGCATGCTCATGAAGAAAATGTAAAACCATTCTTAGAACAACAGTCCGAACTCAAGAGAGATGACCATATTCTAGTTTCTTCATCTCAAACATTAGAACATGGCATAAATGTTCCAGGAGATGGTGTGCAAATTGCTGGCCAAGATTTGCAGTTCTCTGTATATACAGATGAACAAAGTGCCACTATAGATGAACTTGTAGGTGAGATGTCTTCTTTGTCTGAGGAGATGGAGGTGTTGGTCACTGAACAAGGGGAAACAAGCCAAGGAGAACCTACTTTTCCATCCTTAGTTGACCAAACCGAGGAACCACCGAGATTAGAAGACTTAGGGCGTTTCACAGGAGATTCGCAAGCCATGGAAACAGAGCCCAGTCCATTGGGCGAACCTACGAAAGAACCACCACTCACGTCAATCTCACAGTGCAGCTTTTATGAGTCTCTGTCTCAGGCCCATGTGTCACCTCCACACCACGAACAGTTTGAGGAGTTCACCGTAGAAAGTTGCAGCTCTAGCAAAACCTTTATTTCTCATTCTGACAGCTCTGGGACAGGGAGGAGGTCCGATAATTTCTCTGACTTGGAGGAAACTGGCCGGCATTCAGAAGTATCGCTTGTGGAGATAGGAGGGATCCATCGTGATGCACCTTCTGTTGACTCTAACAAAATTAAACTTGTTCCATTTGATTTGGAATCTAATCATCTCAATGATTTTTATGATATTTTAATGTTTCCGCAAAAAGAAAAGCCGGCAATCTCCTCAGTAAGTTCACAACCCCAGAAAGACTTTGGTGAAGCAGCAATGGAAACCACAGAGAAAGGAACGACGAAGGACCCAAAGACCACTTCTGCTCTACAGCCATTGCAGCCCTCTGATCCTGGTAAGACTGCACTGAAAGAGCGCAAATCCTCCAGAAAACGCATCAAACTCTTCCGAACTCATGTGAAGTCTGAGCCAACAATGAAACCCGCCGAGTCCAGCCTGAAACAGAAAGTCAAGGCTTCAGTCGCCAACATTTCACGAATCATCAAGAAAAGGCAAGGAAACGGAAAAGCCGGTGAGTTACATGAGTCTTTGCACCGCCTTTGAATTAAAGGGTCAAGCTACCAAAAACTGATACTACAGCCAAAACTGAAGGGCTATTGGGTGTAAATGCTAGAGTGGGGAGGGGCTAGAGTGGGGAGGGGCTAGAGTGGGGAAGGGCTAGAGCATCCACAAGGTTCTGTCACAGGAAGTGACAGAAAACTATGAGGACTCAGAAAAACAAATACACTTTTTTGGTAAAGGGAAGAGGAGTTAGAACTGTTGGCAACGTTTTTGTTGATGGCCATTCCTTGTCCCTGTTACAATGTTGTACCTTGTACAGGTGTCACATGGGCAGAATGTGGGGGGGGGATCTCCCTAGTGGGGTCACAGATAGAAAAAAAAAATCACAGAAATTTCCCACCTGATCCACAGCAAAAGAAAACATGTCTGAAATTGATTCTTAAAGCATAACTAAACCCAAGAAACAAAAATCTCATATACTGCATTCCTTAGATGTGGCGGCTGCATTTGTTTCCTTTTTTCAGGTTTTCTCTCTATTTTCACCCGGTGATCCTGCCATCAACACTCTTCCTGTACATGGATGATAACGCTTACTCGTAGTACTGTATCTATGGATAGGCAGCGTTGTCACCCTAGGACAGGAACTGTGTTAGGATTTCCAAACATCTCCTTCTAGAGCAGTGGTTCTCAACCTTTCTAGGGCCGGGACCCCTTGGTAACATTTGCCAAGTTGTGGTGACCCCCGACAGTAAAATTTAGGAATGACGCGGCTGCTGCAGCGACATCTGGCGGGAGAACTGACACTGCTGCGCTAGGAGAGGGCTGAGAAGGACTCTCACCTAGCACAGCAAAAATCACACAGCGACCCACAGGTTGAGCACCACTGGTGTACGCCATCAGAATAAAAAAACCACCATAGTTAGAAAGTGTTTCTCTCCCAGGCGCCGGGAGCCGCTATCTAATAGCAGGAGGCTCCCGGGTTACCCCTGGCAAATCATCATTCGACCCCCGAAGGGGTCGCGACCCACAGGTTGAGAACCGCTGTTCTAGATGAAGCCCCGACATTATTTTTTCTTTCTCCTTGTTTGTGTATTAAGAAACAACTTCATAACTCCCAGTAATATCATCGCAAGGTGGGCAAAATGATTGCTGCTGGGAAATTAGTTCCCATTGATGTAGACACCCGTCAGAACCACATCTCCCAAAATGCCTTTTCCTACACACAGTGTGTCTGTTGGGAGTTCAAGGCAGTGGCATTGTGTTGCTGGGAAATAAATCAATGTATGCACATGGAGGGGAAAGAAAGGTGTTTTGTGATAAGGGGAGTTCTGTGATACAACAGGCAGGGTTGACCTGACCACACTTGTTGGGACTTCAGGGCAGCAGAGGCTCTGTGTTGTCAGCTCACACAGGAAGTTACTAGCACATGAAAGTCTCCATGTTGAATTAAATATGCATCATGCTTTGGAGGCTGCATCTAAGTAAAGAAAAGTTGGTAAACTATATCTAAAGCCATGCAGATGTTTTATAGTTGTCTGTGTCCATGTTGTGGAGATTAACTCTTGTGACTGAGGCAGAAAGTGATGGGAAATTTTACAGTTGTCACCACAAGGTATGAACACTTCCCCCCTCATTTTGTAAAGATTTCCTCTCACTTCCTGTTATGTCTACAAGGCAGGAAATTATAGGAAATCTCCCCAATTGAACACAAAAAACCTGGCAGGGGTTCTACATATTCCCTGCTATATCCATGTGACTATATAAAGAGTTTGGCTTTAGATAAATTTTAATGCTGTGCTGGATAATAAAAACATTTTCTACTGTATCTGGGGGCAAAACGCGCTAATAATTTTAATGGCCTCCTCCATTTTTTGTGCCCTTGTTACACTCAAATCGAGCTGCATATTCCACAGCACCCCCACCACCACCAGCCTCAAACTGCTCCCTACATACTTTAATCATGGGGTGCTTCTCCCTGAATTGTTGACCTGAGGTTGGAGGAACACTCTACAGGAGCATGTGCATGGCGCTGCTTTACAGGCTCAAATGCAAAAAAATTAATAAATGTCCATTTTTTTCTTTTTGCGATATAGCTGCATTTTTAAAATTGTTTTGCAAAAAGTGGAATATGCCTTTAAAGCTGAATGACAATAACTGCTTTTAGCCGTAGGAACATCGGAAGTCCATAAAGTCCCTGCACCTGTCCAAGCAGTGTCTGTGCCACCCAAGAAGAAAGGTCTGCCGTCCTTCAGGCTACCTTCCCTCCCAGTCAGGGACAAAGGTAACAGCGGCATTACTCCAGATGCTCTGCAGTGTCACTCTGGTGTATAACAATGCTAAACTTACAATTAAAGTAGATATAAACCCAATGACTAAAATCTTACATTTTTCAAGGTGAACTCCGGGTTTTCTAAAAAAAAAAATCCCTAGCTGCGGGACCTCCGCACACTGCAAGTTGGTTAAGCCTTGGGGTAGAAGAATAAAAAGGAATTGGATAGGAAGCGCTACGGCCCTATTAGTTATAAATATAAACATAAATGTATTGTATGGGTATGGATACAGATATAAACATAAGTGTATGTTAATAAATATGGTGAGCTTAACACAGATGTATAGAACCCAGTTGGATTGTAGTGACCAACAAATGAAATAAAACAAGGAAAATGGGAGAAATGACTCACTATTTGCTGATTCGTTGGTGGTTAGTGGGATAGGCGTTATCCCACCTGTCCAGGGGGATGCCTATCAGGAGTAATAAACGTTAATAAAATGGTCTCCGTCTGGGGCTGGTGTAACTTGGGATGTCCCTGTAGAGAGTCGCCAGGTCTCTTGACTTCCCACTCCGGCTTGAGAAAGAGGCACCGGCCTCAAAACGCGTAGCCATTGGACAGCTCTCTCCCAGCCCCTCACTGACGTCACACCGCGAGTCTACGCCGCCTCACACAGACAGCGAGACACAGTGAGCTGCGGCTGCAGAGACTCAGCGGTTTTCCCCCGCTTGACTCTCACTGGAGCCGTCGGGCTCAGCCTGGCCAGCTGAGACCTGGCGACACTCTACAGGGACATCCCAAGTTACACCAGTTATAACTAATAGGGCGGTAGCGCTTCCTATACAATTCCTTTTCATTGTGCACAAGCAGGGTCCCTCTCCCGGCTCAAGGAGGCAGCACGCCCCCTACCACTAGTTACTTAAACGCACCTCACATCACCAGAGTAGTGCGCTTACTTCATTTGCCGGGTAGAGGAATAAGCTGTAATACTTACCATATTCCTTGCTCACCCAGTAGCTGACACTCCAACACTCCAGGTTGTGAATGGACCCCTTACTGTTCTGTTGTACAATGCGAGACTGTTGGTCCTGCATTGTACGTGATGATGTCACAGTGCGACCGCCAGATCGGACCAGTTGCAGAGCCTGGTGGAAGCCTGCCGGAGCATGGAGCAAGGAGCAAGGTAAGTATTAAAGCCTATTGCTCTACCCCTAGACTTAACCAGCATTTGACCCTCAGAGTGCGGTGAGGTCCCACCGCACGGGTAGTTTTTTTTTCTGCTTTCTTTAGTATCTGGCAATCCTGCCTTGAAAGTCCTTGTTCAGGCACTTCCTGACATAGGGTGAAACTGTCTCCCAATTCTCCTATGCTGTCACCCTGTCACAGCCGCCCCTAGTGGAGACAACAAGCTGCTAGAACAAGTGTTAGTAACAAGAAACAATGTTACAATTCAAGAGATCATAGGAGAAGATGAGCTTATAAATGTAACCATTGCCATCCTCGCAGCAGCAGTAGGGAATCGGGTCACCCAGAGTCTCTCACTAATCAGGAGAGATGAAAGCAGGGATGGTGTCATTGGGGTGAGCACTATAAAAACCATAGGGGGGGGGACACATGATAAAAAGACCCCAAAGTGTGCTGGGAGGGGACCAGACTTGAACCCTGGATATATGGTGTACCTTCATGAACATGTTTCAGGGCCCATCAGAAGTCTTTCCCCTTGGTGTCCTGAGTGCAGTTTTACTCTTTGGACTCATTGTAAGGTTTTATCTGCACGATCCGGCGCACACTGTTTGGTGCTTCTATTCTGCATCTTTATATGTTGAACAGGGTTTGTCACTCTTTGCAGCACCGGCTTTTGTGGAGGAGCTGACGGACCAGACGGTGGTGGTGGGTCACTTGGTGACATTATCCTGCAGAACTGCACAGCCGGTCACGAACGTAGAATGGTTTAAAGGTGAATCGAATTTCTTGATTTGAAAGGATCGCTATTGAAGTTGTGTAACCCAGAAATAATTCACAAATACTTAACTAAGAGAAGTTTATATATACTTAAGAGAAGTTTAATTTAGACTTCTCTGGTTCCCCCCCTTTATCAACATCCTAATGATTTAGAAAATTCCATGTGTGCTGCATCAGTGGCGAACCTAATAACCAAAGGGCCCTGGTGCAAGATTTTATCCTGGGCCCCCCTCCCAAGCCAGGGGGGAGGGTGCGCGGGAGCGGATCACACTGGCCCCCGCACCCCCA